AACCCCCTAAACCCCCCAAACCCCCCAAACCCACCAACCAACCTGAAACTCTCAGGCTGAAACTTGTTGGGGGCTGCTTGCTATAGTTATAGTAGAATATACCCCCCAACGCCCTAGATTCCACTCATTCCCAGACCCCCAGAAGGATCTTAAAAATAGATCCCCTAGTTAGGGACCCTAACTACAAAAGGGTACTTTATAGGAACCCCCTCAGGGGATTTATGTTTTAGATCCTTTTGGGGGTCTGGGACAAGGCCCCTTCATGTCATGCATATAGTAGAATATACCCTAAACCGTAAAACCCTAAACCCAAAACCCTAAAACCGTAAACCGTAAAACCCTAAACCCCCCAACACCCTAGGTTCCACTCACCCTAAACCCTAAACCCTAAATCCTAAACCCTAAACCCTAAACCCATTAAGGCCCCTGCATGTCCTGCATCACCTCAGACGACAGGCCGGTACCTGGAGACAGAGGCGGACCAGGAGGAGGCACTTGAGGAAATCTCCCTCGGTTTAGGGTTTTGGGTTTTGGTGTTTGGGTGTAGGGTTTAGGGTTTAGGGTTTAGGTTTTAGGGTTTAGGGTTTAGGGTTTAGGGTTTCCTAAACCCTAAACCCTAAACCTTAAGCGTTTCAGAACCTTCGAGGGTCCCTTCTGAGGGCGACTCACAAGGATGTGGCCGTTCAGCGTCTACGTGAGGTCCCGGATTTTCTGAAACTCCCGGATATGGAGGTTTAGAGCTTAGGGTTTAGGGGCACTATCGTAGCTTCATGTGTACTAATACTTGTAGTAGTTTGCGCACAGTTCCCACGGTCGATGGATGCTCTCTCTTTCAAACAAGGACACCAGCAATGTTCCTGATGCTACTGGACGCTTCACAACACAATTAACTAATTGCAGTGCTATGCTACCCTTTGCTGTTGAATTTTCCTTTGTGTCCGTTCGGGAGCTTGAGCAAGCGAGGGATCCTACTAAAGACCCGAGTGGTAGCGGTCTAGGGTTTAGGGGTAGGATCATCACAAAAATCCCGAAAACGGTTCCGCAAGCTTCTGATACCGCAGTTACAAGGCCTTCTGCGGAACACTACTGCTGATGCTGCTACTAGCACTGAACAAGAGCTGGTACACGTCCAAGTAGAATACTAATGCATGTCGTGAGCCCATTGCTTCCCGGTTTCAAGGTGCAAAAGCTATTCACAGTATGGATTTTGGAAACTAAACCCGTAGTATTTGGGTACTTGGACCCTCGGGGTTCAGGAGAGACAACGGCCCACCGATGACCTCGACTTGTGCTCGCCCGCTTGCATCGAAGATGTCAGGGCACCAGAGACACACGAGAGAGGCCAGAAAGGACTTAGCAAGTAGATTTTAAGTAGGGCCCACATGCAACCTAAACCCTAAACTCTACCCTAAAACCTAAGCCGTGCTCAGGAAGGCCGAAGCGGAGTGAACACGTTCAGGTTGAGGTTTCAGGTTTTGGGGTGCAGGGCTTTGAGGTCGCGGGGTGCGGCCGGGGCTGTGAGTGCGCCGCTAAAAACCCATGTGCTTCAGACTGTCTTCGGGTTTAAAGGTTCAGGACATCCTAAACCGCAAAACCCAAAACCATATAAGACCTAAACCTTTATAAATCGTGCGCTTAAGACTTACACATAGACTGTGTAGAAAACCAAATTAAAAACCACACAACCCTACATCCCAAGCTCTTAGCCCACATCACCAAAAAGCTCACGCCTTATTTCCAAGAGCTCACAGCACCTGCTGGTCTGAGCCTTCTCCTTTCTTAGGTTTTAGGGCTTACACTAGGTTATAGGGGTCGGAAGGGTTTACGTTGGGCTATAGGGGTCGGAATAGTCAAGAATACGTAGTGCCCCCCTGAAAGTCCCTGTAAGAACGAGAACACAATCCCGACCTCCCTCAAAGAAACAGTCTTCAAACAAATGGGGGTTCCCAAAAATAGGGGACCCTAATATAGCACCCTAACATCCTTATTGTAAGGACCCCAAAACAAGGTACCCCTAATTTTCGGAACCTCCCAAATCAAGCCCCCCGAAAGGAGCGAGTCTAAGTCGAAACTTAAAATCCCAAAGCCAAGCCTACAAAGTTAGGGTTTAGGGTTTAGGGTTTAGGGTTTAGGTTAGTCTAGAGCGGGTTCCAGAAGTTAGGGTTCCTAGCAGACGAATAAAAAAGTGATCCACAACAGCAGTTTTTTCTAAACAAGCCTGACAAGTGTAAACCTAATATAGGTGCCTCAATAATTAATTAGATCATTTTGATGGCTCCTTATTAGAATTATAAAAGACTCTACCCCAAAACCCTGGCCTCTATGTTACATCCGCGAAGGCCAGCCATCTACGACCGTTGCGCCGGCCTCGAGCGAGCCAGCCGAGAAGGCTCCCAGTCCAATGCGACCTCCTGGAGCCCTCCAACCTTTAGGGCCTGTAGGGTCTTGGGTTTAGGGGTTTAGGGTTTAGGGTCTAGGGGTGTACGAGGGTAGGGTTTAGGGTTTTTCAGGGTTTCTAGATGTGCTTAGGGGTTTTAGTGATTTGCATTTTTTTTTAAAAAATTGGTTTAGGGTTTACGGTTTTGGGGTTTGGGTTTTTGGAGCTTTTGGGGTTTGGGGTCTTGGGCTCCAGACCCTGAGCCACGAATCCTCCAAAGCCTAACCCCTATTCCCTGCGCAGGGGTAGGGCTCCAAGACCATATGGCGCTCACAATGGAACTCTTACCCAAAGCATCCTCAGTATCTATATTGATAGGTTCCAAAATCATTATAGTAGTTCCTAGTTTGGAAGCCCTACTGTTTAGGCACTTAGGACCCTTTGTATGAAGACCTCTTGAACCCAAGGATACCGTCGTAAGAAGTCGTCACAGCGATGTTATCCATCAAACATGTTTTGAGACATTGGTTGTCCTGGCTTTACTCACCCATAGTGATACTTAGGTCGATGCGGCGACCAGCTAATTGTGAAGACAAACCGCTGTAGCTCTGATTCTTGTATCTGTTCGGCAGCCATGTCGTGTAGTTTCAGCCTCCCTAAACCCAAGAGTTTCTAGTTAGGCCTCA